ACAGCGGGCCGCGCCATAAGCCCGCTGGCGACGAGGGGCGCCGCCATCCAAAAGGGGGGCAAGAATGGGCCCGCAGACCCTCGGTGGAGCGCCATTGCCCCAATCCCCTCATCCCGGCCTTCTCTCTCGGCTGCTAGCCAAGGGCAGGCCCCGGCACCGTAGACAGGGGCGCCATGTTGTCTGCAGTGGGGGCGCTAACCAGCCGCGTAAAACCCCCGCCATTGTAAAGTCACACCTGCGGGGCACTTGCAAGTAGAAACCTGCAGCACAAGACGCTTAGGATCCCTGGGGAAATTCCTGCTAGCCAAAGGCCCCCTGGGCCCCAGCCTGCAGCCCATGGCCCTTGATTTCCCGGGCCCGACCCCGGGTGGACTCACCGAGAGCCCCCGCGGACACAGATTGCAAAAATCTGCTCCTTCGATCGAGAACTAACTCCTAGCGCGCTGAGAAGGCGCGGCCGCAAGATGATGGCGAGCCCCATCTGGGCGCGCAAAAACAGCCGGGCTCAAGGCCCCCCAGCCCGACACTTTCACCCACGGGCGCATGTCCGCCAGCGGGCCATGTAGAAGTCTCCATCCTTGTAAATGTTCGAGAGCGACGTGAGACGCAATGGGCGACCCTCTGGCACGCAAAACGTCTCCCTGCAGAACTCTGCATCCGTCGCCTGCCACCGTTATTTCGCATATTTGTTGAGTTCACAGCCTGCCTTGGGCAGCGGGTCCTCATCTGGAAATAATGCCCACCCAGCACCGAAAGCTCCGCCCAAGAGGGCCATTGCTCGAGCTCCTTCCTCATCTGCGGAGTGGTTTGATCCCCTCGATGCCATGACCAGGGACCTCACCGCCATACGCAGCTGGCGCCTGATTGCCAGCAAAGTGGACTCTGGCTTGAATGCCAGTAAAACGGACTCTGGCCTTGGCTGACCTGGGCCCTCTCATCTTCTCCAACTTTGCCAGCCCAGGGTTGATCTTTCCACAATTTGCCACATCTAACGATGTTCCGTTTGGTTGCCGCTTATGTTTGCCAGGCTCGCACTTTGCGGCGCGACCCCTCTCGACCTGCCAGCTCGCCATCGGAAGCCTATCGTGTCAACTAGCACCTTGGGAGTACCTGTCACGGCAAAAGCATGCATGGCTAGTGAAGTGTTGCCAACATTTCCTCGACCAGCATGGCCAGAGCTCCACCTCGGTGAATTATGATGTTGGCACGTGCACATAGAGCGCCCGCTGCCACACTGATGCCGAAGTCGTCAAGGTGCACCGCGAGAGCGGCCAGGCCCTCTCCTCGCTCGAGCGTCTTCGCCGTCGAAGTTAGCAATGCACCTACTGGCGGGGCGGAGTGAGCCTTCGCTTCGAACGCGGCCCACTATACCCCAGCGACAATCCCTCCGCGCGCGAGAATCCCGCCTGCGACCAAACCAGCCAGCGCAATGACCCATGGCCTTTCGCACGAGTTTAAACAAAATTGGGCGGCAGCCAAGAGATCTGAGACACCACGCACAGTTTGCCGCAATCTGCGATGCGATATGCGCTCGCAGAACTGTCTCAGGCCCCACGGCATGGATACAATATCAAAACCAAAACCATGATCGGCCAATGCTTCTCTTCGCACAGACTGTCTCCAAGCGGCATCAAGTGGTCCTCGCCCTGGCCCAATGCTGGAGCATGGGCGGCCCAGATATTGGAGCGCCCACTGCCTGGCCTGCCACGCCGCACTTCCCCATGCGATCGGACAGCGTTAATAAAGAACCCTATCGAGCGACTACCCTGGACCGGCCCCCAGAGAGGCCGATGACCACCTGCCGGAGGTTCGACGGAGCATCGGCAATCAGATCCGGACTGGCAAAGAGACCCCCCGCCACTTTGAGCGACCCGCAACCAAGCAAGCTGAATGTTTTTGGACGAAGTCCATCGATCGCAATGGCTCGCTCTTCGAAGTTTGCCGATGCTTTCCGAAGAAGCCCTGCATCTGCCCTGGGCTTGCTTCTGGCTGGCGTTTTGAAATCGGCACTTCTGGTCTCGCCCCCTGCCAAATGTCATTCAAAAGAACACTCATGCCCCCAATCCCCCCCACGAAAAAAAAACGATGTTGAACCATCAATTCTCACGTGCACCTCCTCTAATAAGCCCGTTGATACGAGTGCGAGCGCGAGCTCTGCTGGCAGCTCCTTCACGCGCCCCCTCGCACCACAAGATTCAATCCGCCATCTTCGTCGCGGCCCCCTGCCGGGCCGGATCCAAACATGCCCCGCGCGTCGAGTTGGTTCGACCCACGCCTGCGCGCCACTGCCAAGCCGATGGATCCGCTGAACATGGCCAGCGGCACACGTCGATAGAACCAGGGGAGAAGTCCTCGCCAACCTTGTCCATGCAAGTCAAGATGTGCACAGGGAGCGCCCCCTCGATGTTGCGCCCTCGAAATCGCCCCCGTCGGGCCCCAGTCGCGCGCCGAGTCCCGGCCTTCAACCGCCGCCAAGCGATGGCCGTTCAAATCCTGGAGTCCATTGCGCAACTCGTGGAAAGCCGCGCCGGGCAACGCCCTGACCTGGGCGACCAGCTGCAACCCTGACCACGCTTTGCACGCCCACTCCTGGTAAAACATGCCCGACATCTCCTGCCCCCCCTTCTGCCTGGCCGGGCCCGCCAGAGCGCGCGGGCCCCCGCAGACGCATGGCCCGCCAAAAACTCCTCGGCGCGTTTTCCGGGGATGGGGGGGGGGGGGGGGGGCGGCGACGGCGAGCTTCGCGGGCACCGCGGCACGCCCAATTAGGATCCGAACCCGGCCGCCCCCAGCCGTTTTACCCCGCGTGGAACCAACGGGCCTGCATGGCCCAGGCACACGAGGGCCACTCACTTCAACCGCAGCGTCACTGGCCGGAAAGTCCACAGATCTGCCAAGCAAGGCGTAGCCCAGCTTTCCTGACTGCCCCCCTTCCGCCCTACACGCGCGCGGGAACTACAGGAACAAATCGCCAGCTTCCACGCAGGATGCCAAGCTGCACCCCGCACTGCAATTCACAGGCCTCCACGTTCCAATCTCCCCCGCAAATACGCGGCACACCGCGCTTCAAAATGCGGCAACCTGAATCCTGGCCAACTTCAAAATTCACCCCCGCCATTCTCGCAGAGTCCGGAGGGCGCACCGAGCACGGCCCCAATGCGCCCACTCCAGAAGCCCTCCAGAAGCAACGCGCCGATCGTTCGGCCTGCACTGACGACTTGCCCTGCTAACTCCAAGCGCCCTGCGCCCCCCGACATAGATGTTCAAACCTTTGCTCGGGCCGCCACCTCGAGACACACCACGCGCTGGCCAACATGACTCCAGCCAGGCATAATCATCCACGCACTGCTGTCCTTCAACGCACTCGCAGGAACTCTATGCTCCTGCACATTTATGGCATCCGCAACGCACGAAGTGATGCACAGCTCGGCGGTGGCCCAGCAATGGCATTGCATGGGACAAAACGCACTGGTCTGGGGCTGGCCGCCTTAACCCTTGGCCTACCAATGCCCGCGGCCCTTCCCTCCATCATCAGCACCTGCACCTGCATCTGCAATTGCCATGTTCCAAGCAGCCCCCTTTGCGCGAGCAGCTCCATGAACGCGATTTGACCTCCGAGCAGAGAGGGTTTAAAGGATAAGTGTCTCAGCTGACTCCGAGAACCCAGCTTGCCCAATAGATTCTGAGAGTACATCTTCATCCACCCCCATCTTTCCCACAAGCCTCCTTTGACGAGCGCCAGGGGGTGATGCAGGCGCAGGTAGGCTGGGGCTGCTGGACCTGAGGCTGTTGAACCTCTGGAGCAGGCTAGGCTGAACAAAAACCTACGATCTGCCGCAAAATGCAACTGCAAGATTCGTTTGGCACCCTGACTCTACGTGTCTGGCACGAGCATGCCCAATGAGTCGAGGAGGCTGCGCACAGGGTCGGCGATCGCCGGCGGGACGGCTCCCGATGCCGCCACCAGCTCTGATGCACGCCTGGCCTCCTCAAGACCCCATTCCTCCGGAACGAAGTTCTTGTCGATGGAGTCCAAGTCATTTTGAATCTCATAGAAATACTTGTTCGGGCTTATCTCTTCTTTTTCGCGTCTCACCAAGCTGATTTTCACGTTTGACAATGTCCTGTTCACGTTTCTGCAACTGCGTGCTGGGCGCTGTGTCTTTCTCTTAAGTATTTGTTCATGTTTCCCCATGCAACTGCCAGAGCCGTTGCCACCTCAGAACCAAACGGATTGCTGGTCCCTTTCGAGACTTGGTACATTCGGTGAAGCTCATCATGGGGAGGTTGACCCTGCTTCGGGGCACGACGGACTGGACCACCATCGATGGCATGAACAGTTCCTCCTCCTCCATGCCCACGACCAGAACTTCCTCCTCAAACTCCACGTCCTTTGCCTTTTCTTACATTTTTCTAGCTTTTTCCATCTGTGCATCCGTCACATCCGCCTTCACCTGTCCGAACCCATGGTTGACGACGCCAGGCTCCGAGCGGGGGTGGTGGCTTTCGCTCCTGAACACTCGGGAGCTGCTCGCCACCATGATAGCACCACCGGTAGGACGCTGGGTTACGCTTGCAGCAAGAAGTAGCACACGCCAGGCCCACATGAGAGCTCCCCCGACATCCGCTCGCCTTAAGGAGGACAAGGAAAAGCGGGCCGCCAGTGAAGGCGACCCGACCACACGAATGCGTCTGGGCGCCCCCTTGATGCATGTCGCAAGTAGCGGACACCTCCAAGCTCGAGCCCACGCGACACGCGGTTCGAACTTGATCGAAAATGGTTACAGCCTCCTCCTCCTCCTCCTCCTCCTCCACCTCCTCCTCCTCCTCCTCCTCCTTCTCCTCCTCCTCCTCCTCCTCCCTTTCATCCTCACCCTTATCGTCAACATCCTCACTAACCTCCTCTTCGACCCCCCTCCTCCTCATCATCCCGCTTCCTTCTCACCCGACAACGGCAAAGACGACGGCGTCGAGCACGGACGCTCGCTGCGCGGGCTCTCCCGGCTCGCGCCCCTGGAGATCTCGGCGGGGAGGTGGCGCTGGCAGAAGAGGGCCAC